TCTCTATGTGTCTCTATGGGTCTCTGTGTATCTCTATGTATGTGTGTCTGTGTATCTCTATGGGTCTCTATGTATCTCTATGGGTCTCTATGTATCTCTATGTATGTCTATGTGTCTCTATGTATCTCTATGTGTCTCTATGTATCTCTATGTATCTCTGTGGGTCTCTATGTATCTCTGTGTGTCTCTATGTATCTGTATGTGGTCTACTGGAGGTTCGGGCTGGTCTAGAGACACACACAGACACACACACAGACACACAGACACACATACACAGACACACACAACAACAACAACCGCCATTCGCCACTAAGTGGCGGTGACGTCACCACGACGCTTGTGCCAGGCTATGTGCACCCTGAGGCCACGTGAAGTGTCAAACGCCCGCTGGCAGGTCACGGGGCAGACCCAGGTGCCACGGGTCGACTGACTGAGATGACTGGCTGAGGCACCACCTGTGCTCGTTGTTGTGAGCGTCGCTCCTCCGCCCTCCGTTGTTGTTGGAGGGCGACTGCCTCCAACTGCACAATAGCATCCTTCACGAGCCTCCTCCACAGAGGCCGATCTTGACACCGCTGGTACCAGTCATTGGCACGTCCACTCAGCTCCACGTCCTCCTGTACCGCATCACTCCATCTCTTCTCTAGCCCGTGCCGCGCCCGCTTAGCCCCCTCGATCCGGCCGAACAAAAGCTGTTTCGGCATGCGTTGGCTGGGCATGCGGGCTACATGACCCAGCCATCGCAGCCTTGCCCGCCAGAGGAGCTCACTGATGGGACCTTGCCCAGATCTTTCAAGGATTTGTGAGCTCCTCACACAATCCAGTCTGGTTGAACCCAGGATGGATCGTAGGCAGGCCAGCCTAAATGTTTCTAACCGGCGAAGATGTTCCATTAGGGGGGTCCATGTTTCGCAAGCGTAGAGAAGGGAGGGAATGACCGTGGCCGAGAAGACCTGAAGCTTAGTGCGGAGCGACAGACCAGGTAGCTTCCACACAGCGTTACGCAACCGATGAAAAGATATTGCCGCTCGACTGATTCGGAGTGAGATCTCTGCTGTTAAACTGGAGCCGGTCATAAGCACACTGCCCAGGTATGGGAAACTCTCCACTCTCTCCACAACTGCCCCATCACCGATTGGGAGTTGTGGGGGTGGAGTGTCCGATGGTACAAAATACCCAGGCAGGTGCTTAGTTTTAGTGGGGCTGATGGTAAGGCCCCACCTCTTAGTGGCACGCTCCAGTCTCAGCAGCAGCGTCTCCAACTCCTCCTCTGACTGAGCAGCTATTACCAATCATCAGCATACGTAACGTGGTTGAGCAATAGGGAGCCATCCCTTGACCGCACCCGGGCGTCGATCAGCCTCCCATTATATCTGTACCATATGGAGATTCCCCCGGTACAGCTATTGAAGGCTTCACAAACTACGTGGTCAAAATAGATGTTAAATAATGTGGGAGCCAGAGGACATCCCTGTCGCACCCCAAGGTTAACAGGGAATGGCTCTGACTCCCGGCCACGTAGTTTTACCCGGGCCCGCTCACCATCATGAAGGTCCTTAATGATCGTTAGCAGAGGGTCAGGTACTCCAAAAGCACGAAGAACAACCCAGAGCCCAGGCCTACTGATGGTATCATAGGCCTTGACCAGGTCAATAAAGCAGAGATGTAGGTCTGCTGTAGCAGACGGACAGAAAATATGGCATCTGTGCAGGACCGCCCTTTCCTGAAACCGCATTGGGGCTCCGCAAGCCTCTCCTCAGCGTGCCTGGCAAGGCGATGTTGAATAATCCTTGCCAGGACCTTTCCCGGCACACTGAGTGAGATGCCCCTGTAGTTGTTACAGTCTGTGCGGTCCCCCTTCTTAAAAAGGGGGACCACCAGGGAATCCTTCCAATCCTGCGGAACCCGTCCAGTGGTCCAGACTGTTGTTATGATGTCATATAGGGCAGTCTGTGCACAAACGCCGCCCTCCCTCAGCATTTCGCTTGGGAGATCATCTCTGCCCGCTGCCTTTCCTGGTCTCAGACTCCGGATCGCCTTCAGTACTTCCTCAACAGATGGCACCTCAGCCAGCCACTCACAGGGGGTGACTTCTTCCAATATTTGAGGCACCGCAGCCTCAGCAGGGTCATCCTCACTTTGTGCCACGATGTTTTCCTGGCTGAGGGATTTTCCCTCCTCCAGGACCTCACAGAAATGCTCAGCAAATCTGCAAACCTGTTCCTGGGGGTCAGAGATTGGGTCACCGTTTTTTCCCCTAATGATGGTAATAGGTGTGGCGCTACAGATTAATTTTTTGATGGAGTTAAAGAGATTTGTGATCACGGGCCACTGAGGCAGACTCCATCTCCTCAGCAACCCGCGACCACCACCCATCCTTGCAGCGCCTCACGGCTCTCCGAACCTCCGAGCGAAGGCTGCGGTAAGCCTCCTCATTCTCTGACGTGGGATTCTGTAGCCGATGACAGTGGGCCTGTCGCTTTTTCTAAACCATCCTGAACACCTCCTCCGTCAGCCAGGGTCTCTGGGGAGGTCTGGACCGCGTACCTAAAGCAGCCATTGCAGCTGCATGAGTCACAGTCCTAAACCTCGCCCATTTACCCTCGACATCAGGAGGAGTCGGGGACGATGCCAATCCCAGCCGCAAGCGATGATGAAATTCTCGCTTGTAACTTTCATAAGATAACTGAGACCAGGCCACTTTAGGTTGGAATGGGGTCCTGGGTGTACACACAGACACACACACACAGACACACACACACACAAATAACACACACACACAGAAAACACACACATACACACAGACACACACACACAGTGACACACACAGACACACACACAGACACACACACAGACACACATACACAGATAACACACACACACACACAAACAGTGACACACACAGACACACACACACAGTGACACACACAGACACACACACAGACACACACACAGACACACACACACAGACACACAGACACACAGACACACACACACACACAGTGACACACACAGACACACACACACAGTGACACACACACACAGACACACACACACAGACACACACATACACAGACACACACACACACACAGACACACACACAGTGACACACATACACACACACATAGTGACACATACACACACAGACACACACATACACACAGACACACACATACAGTGACACACACAGACACATACACACACAGACACACACACACAGTGACACACACAGACACACACACACACACAGTGACATACATACACACATACACACACACATAGTGACACATACACATACACACAGACACACACACAGATGACGCATCTCACCACGGTGTTCTCTTGGCCACACTGAAATTTATTCGTTGACGAGGCGACGGAGTTCCCACGAACATCACCGAGGACACACAGACAGAGACAAAGCTCCCCCAGGTAGTCTCTAACAGGGCTGTAGGGGCAAGTGCTGTCAGCAGCAGCAGCAGCAGTGTCTATGAAGGCTACCGGCACTGTGACACACACAGACAAAGCTACCCCAGGTAGCCTCTAACACGATGTAGGGGCAAGTGCTGTCAGCAGCAGCAGTGTCTATGAAGGCTACCGGCACTGTGACACACACAGAGTGGTGGTGATGATGTGATGGTGGTGATGATGTGATGGTGGTGATGATGTGACCAGCACCACCACCACGCCCGGCCGCCTTTGTCTCTCCCCCAGTGCTAGCGATGTTCACTACTACACTACACCGATACACACAGCACCAGGTACTCATTTGAGGCCGAGTCGACCTAGGGGAGGCCCAGGACCGGCTCAGAGAATCGTCGCCAGGTTCATAGCGCAGCGTAGCGCTAACCGCTGCACTATCACTACACACACAGACACACAGTGACACACACACACAGTGACACACACACACAGTGACACACACACAGTGACACAGACACACACACAGTGACACACACACAGACACACACACAGACACACACACAGTGACACACACACAGAGACACACAGAGACACACAGAGACACACACAGACACACACAGTGACACACACACAGTGACACACCCACACACAGTGACACACCCACACACAGTGACACACCCACACACAGTGACACTCACACACAGTGACACACACACACAGTGACACACACACACAGTGACACACACACACACAGTGACACACACACAGTGACACACACATAGTGACACACACACACAGAGACACACACACACACAGAGACACTCACACACACAGAGACACTCACACACACAGTGACACACAGACACACACACAGACACACACAGTGAAACACACACACAGTGACACACACAGTGACACACACACACAGTGACACACACACACAGTGACACACACAGTGACACGCGCAGTGACACAGTGACACACACACAGTGACACACACACTGACACACACAGTGACACACAAAGATAAAGATCCCCCATATAGCCTTAACAGACTGTAGGGGCAAGTGCTGTTAGCGAGCACCTATGAAGGCCGGAACGGTACACGAGGGGGTGGGTGGCCAGCACCACGCCCGACCGCCTTTGTCTCCCCAGTGGCAATGTTTACACACCACACAAGGTACTCATTTGAGGCTGAGTCAACCTAGGGGAGGCCCAGGACCGGTTCAGATAATCGTCACTGGTGTTGGCCGTGAGCGGGAATCGAACCCGGGTCGCCAGGTTCATAGCGCAGCATAGCGCTAACCGCTACACTACACACACACAGTGACACACACAGTGACAAACACAGTGACACACACACAGTAACACACACACAGTGACACTCACACACAGAGACACTCACACACAGAGACACACACACAGTGACACACACAGTGACAAACACAGTGACACACACACAGTGACACACACACAGTAACACACACACAGTGACACTCACACACAGAGACACTCACACACAGAGACACACACACAGTGACAAACACAGTGACACACACACAGTAACACACACACAGTGACACTCACACACACACACACAGACACACACAGTGACACACACACAGTAAGAGGTCACGGGAGGTCACGGGAGGTCGTGAGAGGTCACGGGAGGTCACGGGAGGTCGCGGTCCTCGTGAGCTCCGCCTCCAATCGCGTTCTCAACAGCTCCAGCTGGGGGAGGAGACACGGCAAGTCACTCACCAAGTCACTCACCAAGTCACTCACCAAGTCACTCACCAAGTCACTCACCAAGTCACTCGCCAAGTCACTCACTCGCCAAGTCACTCACCAAGTCACTCACCAAGTCACTCGCCAAGTCACTCACCAAGTCACTCGCCAAGTCACTCACCAAGTCACTCACCAAGTCACTCACCAAGTCACTCACTCGCCAAGTCACTCACTCGCCAAGTCACTCACTCGCCAAGTCACTCACTCGCCAAGTCACTCACCAAGTCACTCACCAAGTCACTCGCCAAGTCACTCAGCAAGTCACTCACCAAATCACTCACCAAGTCACTCACTCACCAAGTCACTCACCAAGTCACTCGCCAAGTCACTCGCCAAGTCACTCACCAAGTCACTCGCCAAGTCATTAGCCAAGCCACTCACCAAGTCACTCACTCACCAAGTCACTCACTCACCAAGTCACTCACTCACCAAGTCACTCACCAAGTCACTCACCAAGTCACTCACCAAGTCACTCACTCACCAATTCGCTCACCAAGTCACTCACTCACCAAGTCACTCACCAAGTCACTCAACAAGTCACTCAACAAGTCACTCACCCACCAAGTCACTCACCAAGTCACTCACCAAGTCACTCACCAAGTCACTCGCCAAGTCACTCGGCAAGTCACTCGGCAAGTCACTCAGCAAGTCACTCAGCAAGTCACTCGCCAAGTCACTCACCAAGTCACTCACTCACCAAGTCACTCACCAAGTCACTCGCCAAGTCACTCACCAAGTCACTCACCAAGTCACTCACCAAGTCACTCACCAAGCCACTCACCAAGCCACTCACCAAGCCACTCACCAAGTCACTCGCCAAGTCAACCGCCAAGTCACTCACCAAGTCACTCGCCAAGTCACCCGCCAAGTCACCCGCCAAGTCACTCACCAAGTCACTCGCCAAGTCACTCACCAAGTCACTCACCAAGTCACTCACCAAGTCACTCGCCAAGTCACTCACCAAGTCACTCGCCAAGTCACTCACCAAGTCACTCACCAAGTCACTCACCAAGTCACTCACTCGCCAAGTCACTCACTCGCCAAGTCACTCACTCGCCAAGTCACTCAAAAAGTCACTCACCAAGTCACTCACCAAGTCACTCGCCAAGTCACTCAGCAAGTCACTCAGCAAGTCACTCACCAAATCACTCACCAAGTCACTCACTCACCAAGTCACTCACCAAGTCACTCGCCAAGTCACTCGCCAAGTCACTCACCAAGTCACTCGCCAAGTCATTAGCCAATCCACTCACCAAGTCACTCACTCACCAAGTCACTCACTCACCAAGTCACTCACTCACAAAGTCACTCACCAAGTCACTCACCAAGTCACTCACCAAGTCACTCACTCACCAATTCGCTCACCAAGTCACTCACTCACCAAGTCACTCAACAAGTCACTCAACAAGTCACTCACCCACCAAGTCACTCACCAAGTCACTCACCAAGTCACTCACCAAGTCACTCACCAAGTCACTCGCCAAGTCACTCGGCAAGTCACTCGGCAAGTCACTCAGCAAGTCCCTCAGCAAGTCACTCGCCAAGTCACTCACCAAGTCACTCACTCACCAAGTCACTCACCAAGTCATTCGCCAAGTCACTCACCAAGTCACTCACCAAGTTACTCACCAAGTCACTCACCAAGCCACTCACCAAGCCACTCACCAAGCCACTCGCCAAGTCACTCACCAAGTCACCCGCCAAGTCACCCGCCAAGTCACTCACCAAGTCACTCGCCAAGTCACTCACCAAGTCACTCACTCACCAAGCCACTCACCAAGCCACTCACCAAGTCACTCACCAAGTCACTCACCAAGCCACTCACCAAGTCACTCACCAAGTCACTCACCAAGTCACTCACCAAGTCACTCGCCAAGTCACTCGCCAAGTCACTCGGCAAGTCACTCGGCAAGTCACTCAGCAAGTCACTCAGCAAGTCACTCGCCAAGTCACTCACCAAGTCACTCACTCACCAAGTCACTCACCAAGTCACTCGCCAAGTCACTCACCAAGTCACTCACCAAGTCACTCACCAAGCCACTCACCAAGCCACTCACCAAGCCACTCACCAAGCCACTCTCCAAGTCACTCACCAAGTCACTCACCAAGTCACTCGCCAAGTCACTCACCAAGTCACTCACCAAGTCACTCACCAAGTCACTCACCAAGTCACTCAGCAAGTCACTCAGCAAGTCACTCGCCAAGTCACTCACCAAGTCACTCACCAAGTCACTCACCAAGTCACTCAGCAAGTCACTCGCCAAGTCACTCACCAAGTCACTCGGCAAGTCACTCACCAAGTCACTCACCAAGTCACTCAACAGGTCACTCACCAGGTCACTCGCCAAGTCACTCGGCAAGTCACTCACCAAGTCACTCACCAAGTCACTCACCAAGTCACTCGCCAAGTCACTCACCAAGTCACTCAACAAGTCACTCACCAAGTCACTCACCAAGTCACTCGCCAAGTCACTCACCAAGTCACCCGCCAAGTCACCCGCCAAGTCACTCACTCGCCAAGTCACTCGCCAAGTCACTCACTCACCAAGTCACCCGCCAAGTCACCCGCCAAGTCACTCACTCGCCAAGTCATTCGCCAAGTCACTCGCCAAGTCACTCACTCGCCAAGTCACTCACTCACCAAGTCACTCACCAAGTCACTCACCAAGTCACTCACCAAGTCACTCGGCAAGTCACTCGGCAAGTCACTCACCAAATCACTCACTCGCCAAGTCACTCACTCACAAAGTCACTCACAAAGTCACTCACCAAGTCACCCACCAAGTCACTCACCAAGTCACTCACTCGCTAAGTCACTCCCTCGCCAAGTCACTCACTCACCAAGTCACTCACTCACAAAGTCACTCACAAAGTCACTCACCAAGTCACCCACCAAGTCACTCACCAAGTCACTCACTCGCTAAGTCACTCCCTCGCCAAGTCACTCACTCACCAAGTCACTCACTCACAAAGTCACTCACAAAGTCACTCACCAAGTCACTCGGCAAGTCACTCACCAAGTCACTCACTCACCAAGTCACTCACCAAGTCACTCACTCACAAAGTCACTCACTCACCAAGTCACTCACCAAGTCACTCACCAAGTCACTCATTCAACAAGTCACTCACCAAGTGACTCACCAAGTCACTCACTTGCCAAGTCACTCACCAAGTCACTCACCAAGTCACTCGCCAAGTCACATGCCAAGTCACTCACCAAGTCACTCACCAAGTCACTCACCAAGTCACTCACCAAGTCACTCTCACAAAGTCACTCACTCACCAAGTCACTCACCAAGTCACTCGCCAAGTCACTCGCCAAGTCACTCGTCAAGTCACTCACTCACCAAGTCACTCACCAAGTCACTCACTCACCAAGTCACTCACCAAGTCACTCACCAAGTCACTCGCCAAATCACTCACTCAGAAAGTCACTCAATCACCAAGTCACTCACCAAGTCACTCACTCGCCAAGTCACTCACTCACAAAGTCACTCACCAAGTCACTCACTCACCAAGTTACTTACCAAGTCACTCACCAAGTCACTCACCAAGTCACTCACTCACCACACCACTCACCACACCACTCACCACACCACTCACCACCACTCACCACTCACCACACCATTCACCACACCACTCACCACACCACTCACCACCACTCACCACTCACCACACCATTCACCACTCACCACACCACTCACCACCACTCACCACTCACCACACCACTCACCATCACTCACCACATCACTCACCACACCACTCACCACATCACTCACCACACCACTCACCACCACTCACCACACCACTCACCACCACTCACCACCACACCACTCACCACTCACCACCACTCACCACACACCACCACACCTCACCACTCACCACACCACTCACCACCACTCACCACACCACTCACCACCACACATCACCACTCACCACACACCACCACACCACTCACCACTCACCACCACTCACCACCACACCTCACCACTCACCACTCACCACACCTCACCACACCACCACTCACCACACCACTCACCACCACTCACCACTCACCTCACCACACCACCAACCACACCACTCACCACACACCACACACACCACTCACCACACCACACACCACCACTCACCTCACCACTCACCACCACTCACCACACCTCACCACTCACCACACCACTCACCACACCACTCACCAAACCACTCACCACACCACTCACCACACCACTCACCACTCCTCACCACTCACCACTCCTCACACCACACCTCACCACACCTCACACCACGCACCACCACTCACCACACCACTCAGCACCACTCAGCACCACTCACCACTCCTCACCACTCACCAGACCACCCCTCACCACTCCTCACCACTCCTCACCACACCTCACCACACCACTCCTCACCACTCCTCACCACTCCTCACCACTCACCACCACTCACCACCACTCCTCACCACACCACTCCTCACCACTCCTCACCACTCCTCACCACACCACTCCTCACCACTCCTCACCACACCACTCACCACCCCTCACCACTCCTCACCACTCCTCACCACACCACTCACCACCACACCACTCACCACCACACCACTCACCACCACACCACTCACCATCACACCACACCACTCCTCACCACTCCTCACCACTCCTCACCACTCCTCACCACTCCTCACCACTCCTCACCACACCACACCACTCCTCACCACACCACACCACTCCTCACCACTCCTCACCACTCCTCACCACACCACACCACTCCTCACCACACCACTCACCACTCCTCACCACACCACACCACTCACCACTCCTCACCACTCCTCACCACACTCCTCACCACACCACTCACCACCACTCCTCACCACTCCTCACCACACACCACTCACCACTCCTCACCACCACTCACCACCACTCACCACTCCTCACCACTCCTCACCACTCACCACCACTCACCACCACTCACCACTCACCACTCCTCACCACACCACACCACTCACCACTCCTCACCACTCCTCACCACTCCTCACCACTCCTCACCACTCACCACCACTCACCACTCACCACTCCTCACCACACCACACCACTCACCACTCCTCACCACTCCTCACCACACCACTCACCACCACTCCTCACCACACACCACTCACCACTCCTCACCACCACTCACCACCACTCACCACTCCTCACCACTCCTCACCACTCCTCACCACACACTCCTCACCACTCCTCACCACACACCACTCACCACTCCTCACCACTCCTCACCACACACCACTCCTCACCACTCCTCACCACACACCACTCCGCACCACTCCGCACCACTCCTCACCACACACCACCACTCACCACCACTCACCACTCCTCACCACTCCTCACCACTCACCACTCACCACTCCTCACCACTCCTCACCACACTCCTCACCACACCACTCACCACCACTCCTCACCACACACCACTCACCACTCCTCACCACTCCTCACCACTCCTCACCACACACTCCTCACCACTCCTCACCACACACCACTCACCACTCCTCACCACACACCACTCCTCACCACTCCTCACCACTCCTCACCACTCCCCACCACTCCTCACCACTCCTCACCACTCCTCACCACTCCGCACCACTCCTCACCACTCCTCACCACACACCACCACTCACCACCACTCACCACTCCTCACCACACACAACTCACCACTCCTCACCACACACCACTCACCACTCCTCACCACTCCTCACCACACACCACTCCTCACCACTCCTCACCACTCACCACACCTCACCACTCCTCACCACTCCTCACACCACTCCTCACCACCACTCACCACCACTCACCACCACTCCTCACCACTCACCACTCCTCACCACTCCTCACCACTCCACACCACTCCTCACCACTCCTCACTCCTCACCACTCCTCACCACTCCTCACCACTCCTCACCACCACTCACCACTCCTCACCACACACCACTCACCACCCCCACCACTCCTCACCACTCCTCACCACCCCTCACCACTCCTCACACCACTCACCACTCCTCACCACACCACACACCACTCACCACTCCTCACCACTCCTCACCACTCCTCACCACTCCTCACCACTCCTCACCACTCCTCACCACACCACTCCTCACCACTCCTCACCATTCCTCACCACAACACCCACCACTCCTCACCTGCTGTTCCTCTTTTTCTTCCTGCCTTGTGATGTCATCCAAATTTGCCTGGAGGCGATTCTGGGAGACACAAAAACATCGTCACACCAACATCGTCACACCAACATCGTCACACCAACATCGTCACACCAACACCATCACACCGTCACAGCGTCACACCAACATCGTCATACCAACATCGTCACACCAACATCGTCACACCATCACAGCGTCACACCAACACACCAACACCGTCACACCAACACCGTCACACCAACACCGTCACACCGTCACAGCGTCACACCAACACCGTCACACCAACACCGTCACACCAACACCGTCACACCGTCACAGCGTCACACCAACACCGTCACACCAACATCGTCACACCAACATCGTCACACCAACATCGTCACTCCAACATCGTCACACCAACACCGTCACACCAACACCGTCACACCAACATCGTCACACCAACACCGTCATACCAACACCGTCACACCAACACCGTCGCACTGTCACACCAACACCGTCACACCAACATCGTCACACCAACACCGTCACACCGTCACAGCGTCACACCAACACCGTCACACCAACACCGTCATACCAACATCGTCACACCAACACCGTCACACCAATACCGTCACACCAACACCGTCACACCGTCACACCAACACCGTCCCACCAACACCGTCACACCAACATCGTCACACCAACACCGTCACACCAACATCGTGACACCAACACCGTCACACCAACACCGTCATACCAACATCGTCACACCAACACCGTCACACCAATACCGTCACACCAACACCATCACACCGTCACACCAACACCGTCCCACCAACACCGTCACACCAACATCGTCACACCAACACCGTCACACCAACATCGTGACACCAACACCGTCATACCAACACCGTCACACCAACACCATCACACCAACACCAACATCGTCACACCAACATCGTCACACCAACACCATCGCACCAACACCGTCACACCAACATCGTCACACCAACACCGTCATACCAACACCGTCACACCAACACCGTCGCACTGTCACACCAACACCGTCACACCAACATCGTCACACCAACACCGTCACACCGTCACAGCGTCACACCAACACCGTCACACCAACACCGTCATACCAACATCGTCACACCAACACCGTCACACCAATACCGTCACACCAACACCGTCACACCGTCACACCAACACCGTCCCACCAACACCGTCACACCAACATCGTCACACCAACACCGTCACACCAACATCGTGACACCAACACCGTCACACCAACACCGTCATACCAACATCGTCACACCAACACCGTCACACCAATACCGTCACACCAACACCGTCACACCGTCACACCAACACCGTCCCACCAACACCGTCACACCAACATCGTCACACCAACACCGTCACACCAACATCGTGACACCAACACCGTCACACCAACACCGTCATACCAACACCGTCACACCAACACCGTCACACCAACACCAACATCGTCACACCAACACCGTCACACCAACACCATCGCACCAACACCGTCACACCAACATCGTCACACCAACACCGTCACACCAACACCGTCATACCAACACTGTCACACCAACACCAACACCGTCACACCAACACCGTCACACCAACACCGTCACACCGTCACCATCACACCAACACCGTCATAGCGTCACCGTGACACCAACATACCAACACCGTCACACCGTCAGTCACACCAACACCGTCACACCAACACCGTCACCCCCGTCACACCGTCACAGCGTCACCGTCACACCGTCACACCGTCACACCAACACCCTCACACCAACACCGTCACACCCTCACACCGTCACACTGTCAGTCACACCGTCACCGTCACACCGTCACAGTCACACCGTCACACCGTCAGTCACACCAACACAGTCACACCGTCACAGCGTCACACCAACACCCTCACACCGACACACCGTCACAGCGTCACACCGTCACAGTCACACCGTCACCCCGTCACACCAACACAGCGTCACACCGTCACCTTCAGGGCCACGTTGCCCACTTTGTTGATGAGCTCCTCCTGACGCCTCCGGCGGTCACGGGTCTCCCTGAGACGGAGCGTCAACACGTCCACCTGGGCCCTCAGCTCACCCACTGGCAGGGGGTGGACACACGGGTGGACACACGGGGTGACACACGGGGTGAGACACGGGGTGACACACGGGGTGAGACACGGGGTAGAGACTGGGCGAGTCTCCCTGAGACGGAGCGTCAACACGTCCACCTGGGCCCTCAGCTCACCCACTTGCGGGGGGGTGGACACACGGGGTGACACACGGGGTGACACACGGGGTGAGACACGGGGTGACACGCGGGGTGAGACACGGGTGGACACACGGGTGGACACACGGGGTGACACGCGGGGTGACGCGCGGGGTAGAGACACGGGGTAGAGACACACAGGGTGAGACACGGGGTGACACACGGGGTGAGACACGGGGTGAGACAGGGAGTGAGACGCGGGGTGAGACACGGGGTGAGACAGGGAGTGAGACGCGGGGTGAGACAGGGAGTGAGACACGGGGTGAGACACGGGGTGACACACGGGGTGACACACGGGGTGACACAACAACCGCCATTCGCCACTAAGTGGCGGTGACATCACCACGACGCTTGTGCCAGGCCACGTGCACCTTAAGGCCACGTGAAGTGTCGAACGCCCGCGGGCAGGAGGTCACGGGGCAGACCCAGGTGCCACGGGTCGACTGACTGAGATGACTGGCTGATGCACCATCTGTGCCCCCTACTGTGCCAACCTGCTGTGCTTTAGCCACCCGGCGCTCCGCTCGTTGTTGTGAGCGTCGCTCCTCCGCCCTATGTTGTTGTTGGAGGGCGACTACCTCTAACTGCCCAGTAGCGTCCTTCACGAGCCTCCTCCACAGAGCCCGATCTTGACACCGCTGGTACCAGTCAGCTCCACGTCCTCCTGTACCACATCACTCCATCTCTTCTCTAGCCCGTGCCGCGCCCGTTTAGCCCCCTCCATCCGGCCGAACCAAAGGTGTTTCGGCATGCGGTGGCTGGGCATGCGGGCTACATGACCCAGCCATCGCAGCCTTGCCCGCCGGAGGAGCTCACCGATGGGACCTTGCCCAGATCTTTCAAGGATTTGTGAGCTCCTCACACAATCCAGTCTGGTTAAACCCAGGATGGATCGTAGGCAGGCCAGCCTAAATGTTTCTAACCGGCGAAGGTGTTCCATTAGGGGGGTCCACGTTTTGCAAGCATAGAGAAGGGAGGGAATGACCGTGGCCGAGAAGACCTGAAGCTTAGTGCGAAGCGACAGACCAGGTAGCCGGTCATAAGCACACTGCCCAGGTATGGGAAACTCTCCACTCTCTCCACAACTGCCCCATCACCGATTGGGAGTTGTGAGGGTGGGGTGTCCAATGGTACAAAATACCCAGGCAGGTGCTTAGTTTTGGTGGGGCTGATGGTAAGGCCCCACCTCTTAGTGGCACGCTCCAGTCTCAGCAGCAGCGTCTCCAACTCCTCCTCTGAATGAGCAGCTATTACCAAATCATCAGCATACATAACGTGGTTGAGCAATAGGGAGCCATCCCTTGACCGCACCCAGGCATCGATCAGCCTCCCATTATATCTGTACCATATGGAGATTCCCCCGGTACAGCTATTGAAGGCTTCACGAACTACTTGGTCAAAATAGATGTCAAATAATGTGGGAGCCAAAGGACATCCCTGTCGCACCCCAAGGTGTACAGGGAATGGCTCTGACTCCCGGCCACGTAGTTTTACCCGGGCCTGCTCACCATCATGAAGGTCCTTAATGATCGTGAGCAGAGGGTCAGGTACTCCAAAAGCACGAAGAACAACCCAGAGCCCAGGCCTACTGATGGTATCATAGGCCTTGACCAGGTCAATAAAGCAGAGATGTAGGTCTTTTTGGAATTCCCTACACCTCTGCTGTAGCAGACGGACAGAAAATATGGCATCTGTGCAGGTCCGCCCTTTCCTGAAACCGCATTGGGGCTCCGCAAGCTTCTCCTCAGCGTGCCTGGCAAGGCGATGCTGAATAATCCTTGCCAGGACCTTTCCCGGCACACTGAGGAGTGAAATGCCCCTGTACTTGTTACAGTCTGTGCGGTCCCCCTTCTTCTTAAAAAGGGGGACCACCGGGGCATCCTTCCAATACAGCGGAACCCGTCCAGTGGTCCAGACTGTTGTTGATGTCATATAGGGCAATTTGTGCACAAACGCCACCCTCCCTCAGCATTTGGCTTGGGAGATCATCTCTGCCCGCTGCCTTTCCTGGTCTCAGACTCCTCAACAGATGGCACCTCAGCCAGCCACTGACAGGGGGTGACTTCTTCCAATATTTGAGGCACCGCAGCCTCAGCAGGGTCATCCTCACTTTGTGCCATGATGTTTTCCTGGCTGAGGGATTTTCCCTCCCCCAGGACCTCACAGAAATGCTCAGCAAATCTGCAAACCTGTTCCTGGGGGTCGGAGATTGGATCACCGTTTTTTCCCCTAATGATGGTAATAGGTGTGGCGCTGCAGGTTACTTTTTGATGGAGTCAAATAGAGATTTGTGATCACGGGCCACTGAGGCAGACTCCATCTCCTCAGCAACCTGCGACCACCACCCATCCCTTGCAGCGCCTCACAGCTCTCCGAACCTCCGAGCGAAGGCTGCAGTAAGCCTCCTCATTCTCTGATGTGGGATTCTGTAGCCGATGACAGTGGGCCTGTCGCTTTTTCTCAACCATCCTGAACACCTCCTCTGTCAGCCAGGGTCTCTGGGGAGGTCTGGACCGCGTACCCAAAGCAGCCATTGCAGCTGCATGAGTCACAGTCCTAAACCTCGCCCATTTACCCTCGACATCAGGAGGAGTCGGGGACGATGCCAATCCCAGCCGCAAGCGATGATGAAATTCTCGCTTGCAACTTTCATCTGATAACTGAGACCAGGCCACTTTTGGTCGGAATGGGGTCCTGGGTGTACACCCACCACCGGAGTAGAAGAATGGCAGGCGCATCTTACAGATGACTAGTCGATGGTCAGAGGGCAGATCAGCTCCACGGTAGGTCCTGGTGTCAAGGACATGGGCTCGCATCCGCTGGTCCGTCACTACGTAGTCCAGCAGATGTTCTTGCTTGGACCCGGCATGCATCCATGATGTTGGGTGGATGCGCCGATGCCGGAACAGCGTGTTGGTAATTACAAGCCCATGGGCTGCACAAAAATCTAGCAGCCTCCTACCGTTATTATTGAGCTGATCTGGCCCATGCCCTCCAATCACTCCAGACCAGGTGCCAGCATCATGACCAACTCGGGCATTGAAGCCACCCAACATGATGACTCTATCCCGAGGGGCCACTTTAGCCAGCACCTGTGCACAGGAGGTCATAGAAGGCATCTGACTCATCGGCTTTCCCTGCATCCTTCCACGGATGTTCATCTTCGGTGGGGGCATAAGTAACCACGACCACCATTCCTCGCCTCCGGTTGATGGGAAGGCGAGCCCAAAGTAGCCCGGGGCTTACAGCTTCCCACACCTCACCGCCACGCTCCCACGCCCCCTTCATTCTTTTGTTCAAAAGAACAGCCACACCCTGTTGTTTGGCAGTCTGCTGCCCCGAGTAGAGGACTGTCCAGCCCTCATGGTGGCAGGAGCCAGAGCCGGTCCACCGGACCTCCTGAATGCCACACAGATCCAGGCGGTACTGGTCCAGCTCCCGACAGAGGAGTGTCAGCCTCTCCTCCGCAGTGAGCGTTCGAACATTCCACGTGGCCATCCGTAGTGGTTTATCGTTGTTTCTGGAGGAGCCCCGAGGGTAGATATTCAATCTCCTGGCTCCGCCAATTGGGGTTTGGCCAGGAGACGTCATAGACGCCTGGCCCCCCGGGGCCTCCGGCACAAGCTTATTAGTTATATACTTAATTCGCGGTTTAGTGGTAATTAATTGAAGGTGGAGGGGTTACCAGCCCCTCGCACCCATCCAGAGCCCCCGTTTAGCCCCTGTGGTGGTCACAGACGCCATGAGGGGAGGAGCCAATCGAAATTGGATCTCCCCCCACAGCACTGTCCACGACAGAGTTGCCCGTCCGGCACCGTGAGGAGGTAGGGGGTTGCCGGACCAGTCACACACACAAACAGTGACACACACACACACAGGGTGACACTGACACACACACACACAGGGTGACACACAGGGTGACACACAGGGTGACACAGACACACACACAGAGTGACACACAGGGTGACACAGACACACACACAGAGTGACACACAGGGTGACACACAGACACACACACACAGAGTGACACACACACAGGGTGACACACAGGGTGACACACAGGGTGACACAGACACACACACAGAGTGATACACAGGGTGACACAGACACACACACAGAGTGACACACACACGGGGTGACACACAGGGTGACACACAGGGTGACACACGGTGACACACAGGGTGACACAGACACACACACAGGGTGACACACAGGGTGACACACAGGGTGACACACAGGGTGACACACAGGGTGACACACACACACACACATACAGGGTGACACACAGGGTGACACACAGGGTGACACACAGGGTGACACACAGGGTGACACACACACACATACAGGGTGACACACAGGGTGACACAGACACACACACCGGGTGACACACAGGGTGACACACAGGGTGACACACAGGGTGACACAGACACACACACAGAGTGACACACAGGGTGACACAGACACACACACAGAGTGACACACAGGGTGACACAGACACACACACAGGGTGACACACAGGGTGACACACAGACACACACACAGAGTGACACACACACACACGGGGTGACACACAGGGTGACACACAGGGTGACACACAGGGTGACACACAGGGTGACACACACACACAGGGTGACACACAGGGTGACACACAGGGTGACACACAGGGTGACACACAGGGTGACACACAGGGTGACACACAGGGTGACACACAGGGTGACACAGACACACACACACACAGGGTGACACACAGGGTGACACACAGGGTGACACACAGGGTGACACACAGGGTGACACAGACACACACACAGGGTGACACACACACACACACAGGGTGACACACAGGGTGACACACAGGGTGACACACACACACACACAGGGTGACACACAGGGTGACACACAGGGTGACACACAGGGTGACACAGACACACACACAGAGTGACACACAGGGTGACACACAGACACACACACAGAGTGACACACACACACACGGGGTGACACACAGGGTGACACACAGGGTGACACACAGGGTGACACAGACACACACACAGGGTGACACACACACACACACAGGGTGACACACAGGGTGACACACAGGGTGACACACACACACACACAGGGTGACACACAGGGTGACACACAGGGTGACACACAGGGTGACACAGACACACACACAGAGTGACACACAGGGTGACACACAGACACACACACAGAGTGACACACACACACACGGGGTGACACACAGGGTGACACACGGGGTGACACACAGGGTGACACAGACACACACAGAGTGACACACACACAGGGTGACACACAGGGTGACACAGACACACACACACAGGGTGACACACAGGGTGACACACAGGGTGACACACACACACACACAGGGTGACACAGACACACACACACACAGGGTGACACACACACACACAGGGTGACACACAGGGTGACACAGACACACACACACAGGGTGACACACACACACACACAGGGTGACACAGACACACACACACACAGGGTGACACAGACACACACACACACAGAGTGACACACAGGGTGACACACGGGGTGACACACAGGGTGACACAGACACACACACACAGGGTGACACACAGGGTGACACACAGGGTGACACACACACACACAGGGTGACACACGGGGTGACACACAGGGTGACACACAGGGTGACACACAGGGTGACACAGACACACACAGAGTGACACACAGGGTGACACACGGGGTGACACACAGGGTGACACACAGGGTGACACACAGGGTGACACACAGGGTGACACAGACACACACACACGGCGTGATTCTGTGACTACGCTGCAGGTAACCTCACCAATCTGCGTCTTCTCATCCCCGGCCCTCCCGGCCGCCCCTCCGGCCCCTCCTCGCCTCTGGCCGCCCACTGCGTCCACCTCCTCCTCCTCCTCCTCATCCTCCTCCTCCTCCTCGTCCACCTCCTCCTCCACCTCCTCCTCATCGTCTGCCCTGGCTCTCCCCCGGCCGCCTCTCGTCTTCATCCCACCTCCTCCTCCTCCTCCTCCACCTCCTCCACCTCCTCCACCTCCTCCACCTCCTCCTCCTCCACCACCTCCTCCACCTCTTCTTCCACCACCCCCTCCGGCCGCCGCTGATGAGGCTTTGGCTGCCGCGGCCGCTTTGGACGATGTCCCGGCAGTTGTCGCCGTTGACGACGACGAGGCGGTGGTGGCGGTGGTGGCGGTGGTGGTGGCGGTGTTCCTGTGGTGGTGGCTGTGGTGGTGGTGGTGGTGGTGGTGGTGGTGGAGGTCGTCGAGGTCGTCGTCGCTGCTGCTCAGCTCGTTGAAAATCTCGCGGAGCTCGTCACGGTCTGGGGTGGTGGGGGGGTGGTGGTTGGTGGGGGGGTGGTGGGGGGGGGGTGGTGGTGGGGGGAAGGTGGGAGGAGGTGGGGGGGACGGGGATGTCAAGGGGCCAGCAGTGAGTGGGTGAGTGAGTGGGTGAGTGAGTGGGTGGGTGAGTGAGTGGGTGAGTGAGTGGGTGAGTGAGTGGGTGAGTGAGTGGGTGAGTGGGTGGGTGGGTGAGTGAGTGGGTGAGTGAGTGGGTGAGTGGGTGGGTGGGTGGGTGAGTGAGTGAGTGGGTGAGTGAGTGGGTGGGTGAGTGGGTGGGTGAGTGAGTGAGTGGGTGGGTGAGTGGGTGAGTGAGTGGGTGAGTGAGTGGGTGAGTGGGTGAGTGGGTGGGTGAGTGACTGACTGGTTGAGTGGGTGGGTGAGTCAATCGGTGGGCGAGTCGGTGGGTGGGTGAGTGAGTGGGTGGGTGGGTGAGTGGGTGAGTGAGTGGGTGAGTGAGTGGGTGAGTGGGTGGGTGAGTGAGTGAGTGGGTGAGTGAGTGAGTGGGTGGGTGGGTGAGTGGGTGGGTGAGTGAGTGAGTGGGTGGGTGAGTGGGTGAGTGAGTGGGTGAGTGAGTGGGTGAGTGGGTGGGTGAGTGAGTGGGTGAGTGAGTGGGTGGGTGGGTGAGTGGGTGAGTGAGTGGGTGAGTGAGTGGGTGAGTGAGTGGGTGAGTGAGTGAGTGGGTGAGTGAGTGGGTGGGTGAGTGAGTGGGTGGGTGAGTGAGTGGGTGGGTGAGTGGGTGAGTGAGTGGGTGAGTGGGTGAGTGAGTGGGTGAGTGGGTGAGTGGGTGAGTGGGTGGGTGAGTGACTGACTGGTTGAGTGGGTGGGTGAGTCAATCGGTGGGCGAGTCGGTGGGTGGGTGAGTGAGTGGAAAGGTGAACAAGTGAGTGAGTGACTGAGCAAATGACAGGGCGAGTGAGCGACTGACTGGCTGAGTGAGTGACTGAGCGTGGGAGTGACTGGCTAGCGAGCGAGTGAATGAACGAGTGACTGAGCGTGGGAGTGACCAGTGAGTGACTGGCCGAGCGAGCGACTGACTAGCGAGCGAGTAGCGAGTGACTGGTGAGTGACTAGCGAGGGACTGAGCAAGTGAGTGAATGAGCGAGTGACTGAGCGAGTGAGTGAGCGAGTGGCTGAGCGAGTGAGTGACTGACTAGCGAGTGACTGACTAGCGAGTGACTGACTAGCGAGTGACTGACTAGCGAGTGACTGACTAGCGAGTGACTAGTGAGTTACTAGCGAGTGACTGACTAGCGAGTGACTGACTAGCGAGTGACTGAGCGAGTGACTGACTAGCGAGTGACTAAGCGAGTGACTGAGCGAGTGACTGACTAGCGAGTGACTGAGCGAGTGACTGAGCGAGTGACTGAGCGAGTGACTAAGCGAGTCACCTGAGGCTCCCCTAGGTGTGGCTGTGGCTGCCCCGCTGGTCGAGGAGTCCAGCAGGAGACCAGGCAAGTTCCCGCGGACTCCGTCAGTGACTGACTAGCGAGTGACTGACTAGCGAGTGACTGAGCGAGTGACTGAGCGAGTGACTGACTAGCGAGTGACTGAGCGAGTGAGTGAATGAGCAAGTGAATGAGCGAGTTACTGAGCGAGTGAATGAGCGAGTGAATGAGCGAGTGACTGAGCGAGTGAATGAGCGAGTGACTGACTAGCGAGTGACTGACTAGCGAGTGACTGAGCGAGTGACTGAGCGAGTGACTGACTAGCGAGTGACTGAGCGAGTGAGTGAATGAGCGAGTGAATGAGCGAGTGACTGAGCGAGTGAATGAGCGAGTGAATGAGCGAGTGACTGAGCGAGTGACTGAGCGAGTGACTGACTAGCGAGTGACTGAGCGAGTGACTGAGCGAGTGACTGACTAGCGAGTGACTGACTAGCGAGTGACTGACTAGCGAGTCACCTGAGGCTCCCCTAGGTGTGGCTGTGGCTGCCCCGCTGGTCGAGGAGTCCAGCAGGAGACCAGGCAAGTTCCCGCAGACTCCTTCAGTGACTGACTAGCGAGTGACTGACTAGCGAGTGACTGAGCGAGTGACTGACTAGCGAGTGACTGAGCGAGTGACTGAGCGAGTGACTGAGCGAGTGACTGACTAGCGAGTGACTGAGCGAGTGACTGAGCGAGTGACTAGTGACTGACTAGCGAGTGACTGACTAGCGAGTGACTGAGCGAGTGACTGAGCGAGTGACTGACTAGCGAGTGACTGACTAGCGAGTGACTGACTAGCGAGTCACCTGAGGCTCCCCTAGGTGTGGCTGTGGCTGCCCCGCTGGTCGAGGAGTCCAGCAGGAGACCAGGCAAGTTCCCGCGGACTCCGTCAGTGACTGACTAGCGAGTGACTGAGCGAGTGACTGACTAGCGAGTGACTGAGCGAGTGACTGACTAGCGAGTCACCTGAGGCTCCCCTAGGTGTGGCTTTGGCTGCCCCGCTGGTCGAGGAGTCCAGCAGGAGACCAGGCAAGTTCCCGCGGACTCCTTCAGTGACTGACTAGCGAGTGACTGACTAGCGAGTGACTGAGCGAGTGACTGAGTGAGTCACCTGAGGCTCCCCTAGGTGTGGCTGTGGCTGCCCCGCTGGTCGAGGAGTCCAGCAGGAGACCAGGCAAGTTCCCGCGGACTCCGTCAGTGACTGACTAGCGAGTGACTGAGCGAGTGACTGACTAGCGAGTGACTGAGCGAGTGACTGACTAGCGAGTCACCTGAGGCTCCCCTAGGTGTGGCTGTGGCTGCCCCGCTGGTCGAGGAGTCCAGCAGGAGACCAGGCAAGTTCCCGCGGACTCCGTCAGCGTCACGTAAATCCTCGTCCAGAATCACCTCCCAGCCTGGACCCAGCCGCAGCAGCCCCAGCAGCAGCAGAGCTCAGGAAGTACAGGTTCAACACGTGGCAGCAGATGCAGCAGCAACACACGTGGTCGTGGTGGTCGTGGTGGTCGAGGTGGTGGTAGGGGTAGTCGGGTAGTGGTAGGGGTAGGGGTAGTGTTATTGTGGTAGTGTTATTGGTAGTGTTATTGTGGTAGTGTTATTGGTAGTGTTATTGTGGTAGTGTTATTGGTAGTGTTATTGTGGTAGTGTTAGTGGTAGTGTTATTGTGGTAGTGTTATTGTGGTAGTGTTATTGTGGTAGTGTTATTGGTAGTGTTATTGTGGTAGTGTTATTGGTAGTGTTATTGTGGTAGTGTTAGTGGTAGTGTTATTGTGGTAGTGTTATTGGTAGTGTTATTGTGGTAGTGTTATTGTGGTAGTGTTATTGTGGTAGTGTTATTGGTAGGGGTAGTGTTAGTGGTAGTGTTATTGGGGGTAGTGTTATTGTGGTAGTGTTATTGTGGTAGTGTTATTGTGGTAGTGTTATTGTGGTAGTGTTATTGTGGTAGTGTTATTGTGGTAGTGTTATTGTGGTAGTGTTATTGTGGTAGTGTTAGTGGTAGTGTTATTGTGGTAGTGTTATTGTGGTAGTGTTATTGTGGTAGTGTTATTGGTAGTGTTAGTGGTAGTGTTATTGTGGTAGTGTTAGTGGTAGTGTTATTGTGGTAGTGTTATTGTGGTAGTGTTATTGTGGTAGTGTTATTGGTAGTGTTATTGTGGTAGTGTTATTGTGGTAGTGTTATTGTGGTAGTGTTATTGGCAGTGTTATTGTGGTAGTGTTATTGTGGTAGTGTTATTGTGGTAGTGTTATTGTGGTAGTGTTATTGTGGTAGTGTTATTGTGGTAGTGTTATTGGTAGGGGTAGTGTTAGTGGTAGTGTTATTGGGGGTAGTGTTATTGTGGTAGTGTTATTGTGGTAGTGTTATTGTGGTAGTGTTATTGTGGTAGTGTTAGTGGGGTAGTGGTAGTGTTATTGGTAGTGTTATTGGTAGTGTTATTGTGGTAGTGTTAGTGGGGTAGTGGTAGTGTTATTGGTAGTGTTATTGGTAGTGTTATTGTGGTAGTGTTATAGTGGTAGTGTTATTGTGGTAGTGTTATTGTGGTAGTGTTATTGTGGTAGTGTTATTGTGGTAGTGTTATTGTGGTAGTGTTATTGTGGTAGTGGTATTGTGGTAGTGTTATTGGTAGTGTTATTGGTAGTGTTATTGTGGTAGTGTTATAGTGGTAGTGTTATTGTGGTAGTGTTATTGTGGTAGTGTTAGTGGGGTAGTGGTAGTGTTATTGGTAGTGTTATTGGTAGTGTTATTGTGGTAGTGTTAGTGGGGTAGTGGTAGTGTTATTGGTAGTGTTATTGGTAGTGTTATTGTGGTAGTGTTATAGTGGTAGTGTTATTGTGGTAGTGTTATTGTGGTAGTGTTATTGTGGTAGTGTTATTGTGGTAGTGTTATTGTGGTAGTGTTATTGTGGTAGTGGTATTGTGGTAGTGTTATTGGTAGTGTTATTGTGGTAGTGTTATTGTGGTAGTGTTATTGTGGTAGTGGTAGTGTTATTGGTAGTGTTATTGTGGTAGTGTTATTGTGGTAGTGTTATTGTGGTAGTGTTATTGTGGTAGTGTTATTGTGGTAGTGTTATTGTGGTAGTGTTATTGTGGTAGTGTTATTGTGGTAGTGTTATTGTGGTAGTGTTATTGTGGTAGTGTTATTGTGGTAGTGTTATTGTGGTAGTGTTATTGTGGTAGTGTTATTGGTAGTGTTATTGTGGTAGTGTTATTGTGGTAGTGTTATTGTGGTAGTGTTATTGGTAGTGTTAGTGGTAGTGTTAGTGGTAGTGTTAGTGGCAGTGTTATTGTGGTAGTGTTATTGTGGTAGTGTTATTGTGGTAGTGTTATTGTGGTAGTGTTATTGTGGTAGTGTTATTGTGGTAGTGTTAGTGGTAGTGTTAGTGGTAGTGTTATTGTGGTAGTGTTATTGTGGTAGTGTTATTGTGGTAGTGTTATTGGGGGTAGTGTTATTGGTAGTGTTATTGTGGTAGTGTTATTGGGGGTAGTGTTATTGGTAGTGTTATTGTGGTAGTGTTATTGTGGTAGTGTTATTGGTAGTGTTATTGTGGTAGTGTTATTGTGGTAGTGTTATTGGTAGTGTTATTGTGGTAGTGTTATTGGGGGTAGTGTAATTGGTAGTGTTAGTGGTAGGGGAAGTGTTATTGGTAGTGTTATTGTGGTAGTCTTAGTGGTAGTGTTATTGTGGTAGTGTTATTGTGGTAGTGTTAGTGGTAGTGTTATTGTGGTAGTGTTATTGTGGTAGTGTTATTGTGGTAGTGTTATTGGTAGTGGTAGTGTTATTGTGGTAGTGTTATTGTGGTAGTGTTATTGTGGTAGTGTTATTGGTAGTGTTATTGTGGTAGTGTTATTGTGGTAGTGTTATTGGTAGTGTTATTGTGGTAGTGTTATTGGTAGTGTTATTGGTAGTGTTATTGTGGTAGTGTTAGTGGGGTAGTGGTAGTGTTATTGGTAGTGTTATTGGTAGTGTTATTGTGGTAGTGTTATAGTGGTAGTGTTATTGTGGTAGTGTTATTGTGGTAGTGTTATTGTGGTAGTGTTATTGTGGTAGTGTTATTGTGGTAGTGTTATTGTGGTAGTGTTATTGGTAGTGTTATTGTGGTAGTGTTATTGTGGTAGTGTTATTGTGGTAGTGTTAGTGTTATTGGTAGTGTTATGGGTAGTGTTATTGTGGTAGTGTTATTGTGGTAGTGTTATTGTGGTAGTGTTATTGTGGTAGTGTTATTGTGGTAGTGTTATTGTGGTAGTGTTATTGTGGTAGTGTTATTGTGGTAGTGTTATTGTGGTAGTGTTATTGTGGTAGTGTTATTGTGGTAGTGTTATTGTGGTAGTGTTATTGGTAGTGTTATTGTGGTAGTGTTATTGTGGTAGTGTTATTGTGGTAGTGTTATTGGTAGTGTTAGTGGTAGTGTTAGTGGTAGTGTTAGTGGCAGTGTTATTGTGGTAGTGTTATTGTGGTAGTGTTATTGTGGTAGTGTTATTGTGGTAGTGTTATTGTGGTAGTGTTATTGTGGTAGTGTTAGTGGTAGTGTTAGTGGTAGTGTTATTGTGGTAGTGTTATTGTGGTAGTGTTATTGTGGTAGTGTTATTGGGGGTAGTGTTATTGGTAGTGTTATTGTGGTAGTGTTATTGGGGGTAGTGTTATTGGTAGTGTTATTGTGGTAGTGTTATTGTGGTAGTGTTATTGGTAGTGTTATTGTGGTAGTGTTATTGTGGTAGTGTTATTGGTAGTGTTATTGTGGTAGTGTTATTGGGGGTAGTGTAATTGGTAGTGTTAGTGGTAGGGGAAGTGTTATTGGTAGTGTTATTGTGGTAGTCTTAGTGGTAGTGTTATTGTGGTAGTGTTATTGTGGTAGTGTTAGTGGTAGTGTTATTGTGGTAGTGTTATTGTGGTAGTGTTATTGTGGTAGTGTTATTGGTAGTGGTAGTGTTATTGTGGTAGTGTTATTGTGGTAGTGTTATTGTGGTAGTGTTATTGTGGTAGTGTTATTGTGGTAGTGTTATTGTGGTAGTGTTATTGTGGTAGTGTTATTGTGGTAGTGTTATTGGTAGTGTTATTGTGGTAGTGTTATTGTGGTAGTGTTATTGTGGTAGTGTTATTGGTAGTGTTAGTGGTAGTGTTAGTGGTAGTGTTAGTGGCAGTGTTATTGTGGTAGTGTTATTGTGGTAGTGTTATTGTGGTAGTGTTATTGTGGTAGTGTTATTGTGGTAGTGTTATTGTGGTAGTGTTAGTGGTAGTGTTATTGTGGTAGTGTTATTGTGGTAGTGTTATTGTGGTAGTGTTATTGGTAGTGTTAGTGGTAGTGTTATTGTGGTAGTGTTAGTGGTAGTGTTATTGTGGTAGTGTTATTGTGGTAGTGTTATTGTGGTAGTGTTATTGGTAGTGTTATTGTGGTAGTGTTATTGTGGTAGTGTTATTGTGGTAGTGTTATTGGCAGTGTTATTGTGGTAGTGTTATTGTGGTAGTGTTATTGTGGTAGTGTTATTGTGGTAGTGTTATTGTGGTAGTGTTATTGTGGTAGTGTTATTGGTAGGGGTAGTGTTAGTGGTAGTGTTATTGGGGGTAGTGTTATTGTGGTAGTGTTATTGTGGTAGTGTTATTGTGGTAGTGTTATTGTGGTAGTGTTAGTGGGGTAGTGGTAGTGTTATTGGTAGTGTTATTGGTAGTGTTATTGTGGTAGTGTTAGTGGGGTAGTGGTAGTGTTATTGGTAGTGTTATTGGTAGTGTTATTGTGGTAGTGTTATAGTGGTAGTGTTATTGTGGTAGTGTTATTGTGGTAGTGTTATTGTGGTAGTGTTATTGTGGTAGTGTTATTGTGGTAGTGTTATTGTGGTAGTGTTATTGTGGTAGTGTTATTGGTAGTGTTATTGTGGTAGTGTTATTGTGGTAGTGTTATTGTGGTAGTGGTAGTGTTATTGGTAGTGTTATTGTGGTAGTGTTATTGTGGTAGTGTTATTGTGGTAGTGTTATTGTGGTAGTGTTATTGTGGTAGTGTTATTGTGGTAGTGTTATTGTGGTAGTGTTATTGTGGTAGTGTTATTGTGGTAGTGTTATTGTGGTAGTGTTATTGTGGTAGTGTTATTGTGGTAGTGTTATTGGTAGTGTTATTGTGGTAGTGTTATTGTGGTAGTGTTATTGTGGTAGTGTTATTGGTAGTGTTAGTGGTAGTGTTAGTGGTAGTGTTAGTGGCAGTGTTATTGTGGTAGTGTTATTGTGGTAGTGTTATTGTGGTAGTGTTATTGTGGTAGTGTTATTGTGGTAGTGTTAGTGGTAGTGTTAGTGGTAGTGTTATTGTGGTAGTGTTATTGTGGTAGTGTTATTGTGGTAGTGTTATTGGGGGTAGTGTTATTGGTAGTGTTATTGTGGTAGTGTTATTGGGGGTAGTGTTATTGGTAGTGTTATTGTGGTAGTGTTATTGTGGTAGTGTTATTGGTAGTGTTATTGTGGTAGTGTTATTGTGGTAGTGTTATTGGTAGTGTTATTGTGGTAGTGTTATTGGGGGTAGTGTAATTGGTAGTGTTAGTGGTAGGGGAAGTGTTATTGGTAGTGTTATTGTGGTAGTCTTAGTGGTAGTGTTATTGTGGTAGTGTTATTGTGGTAGTGTTAGTGGTAGTGTTATTGTGGTAGTGTTATTGTGGTAGTGTTATTGTGGTAGTGTTATTGGTAGTGGTAGTGTTATTGTGGTAGTGTTATTGTGGTAGTGTTATTGTGGTAGTGTTATTGGTAGTGTTATTGTGGTAGTGTTATTGTGGTAGTGTTATTGGTAGTGTTATTGTGGTAGTGTTATTGGTAGTGTTATTGTGGTAGTGTTATTGTGGTAGTGTTATTGTGGTAGTGTTATTGGTAGTGTTATTGGGGGTAGTGTTATTGGGGGTAGTGTTATTGGGGGTAGTGTTATTGGGGGTAGTGTTATTGTGGTAGTGTTATTGTGGTAGTGTTAGTGGGAGTAGTGGTAGGGGTAGTGGTAGTGTTATTGGGGTAGTGTTAGTGGTATTGAAGGTAGGTAGGGGTAGTGGTAGATGTAGTGTTATTGGTAGTGTTAGTGGTAGAGGTAATGTTATTGGGGGTAGTGGTAGGGGTAGTTGTGGTGGTAGTAGTTGTGGTTGTTGTGTTGGTAGTTGTGGTTGTTGTGGTGGTAGTTGTGGTTGTTGTGGTGGTAGTTGTGGTGGTGGTTGTAGTAGTTGTGGTAGTAGATGTGGTGGTGGTTGTGGTAGTGGTAGTAGTAGTGGTTTTAGTTGTGGTTGTTGTGGTAGTAGTGGTGGTAGCGGTGGTAGTAGTAGTGGTGGTAGTAGAAGTTGTGGTGGTAGTTGTGGTGGTAGTAGTAGTGGTAGTGGAAGTAGTTGTGGTAGTTGTGGTAGTAGCGGTGGTAGTGGTGGTCGTGGTGGTAGTGGTGGTTGTGGTAGTGGTGGTAGTAGTGGTGGTAGTTGTGGTAGTAGTTGTGGTAGTAGTTGTGGTAGTAGTTGTGGTAGTAGTTGTGGTAGTAGTTGTGGTAGTAGTTGTGGTGGTAGTTGTGGTAGTAGTTGTGGTGGTTGTGGTGGTAGTAGTAGTTGTGGTGGTTGTGGTTGTTGTAGTAGTTGTGGTTGTGGTAGTTGTTGTTGTTGTAGTAGTTGTGGTGGTAGTAGTTGTGGTTGTTGTAGTAGTTGTGGTGGTTGTGGTCGTGGTAGTAGTGGTAGTTGTGGTGGTAGTAGTTGTGTTTGTTGTAGTAGTTGTGGTTGTTGTAGTAGTTGTGGTTGTTGTAGTAGTTGTGGTTGTTGTAGTAGTTGTGGTTGTTGTAGTAGTTGTGGTGGTTGTGGTAGTAGCGGTGGTAGTGGTAGTTGTGGTGGTAGTAGTTGTGGTTGTTGTGGTAGTTGTTGTTGTTGTAGTAGTTGTGGTGGTAGTTGTGGTAGTAGTTGTAGTGGTTGTGGTCGTGGTGGTAGTGGTAGTTGTGGTGGTAGTAGTTGTGGTTGTTGTAGTAGTTGTGGTGGTAGTAGTTGTGGTGGTTGTGGTGGTAGTGGTAGTAGTAGTTGTGGTAGTAGTTGTGGTTGTTGTAGTAGTTGTTGTAGTAGTTGTGGTTGTTGTAGTAGTTGTGGTGGTAGTAGTTGTGGTTGTTGTAGTAGTTGTGGTTGTTGTAGTAGTTGTGGTTGTTGTTGTTGTAGTAGTTGTGGTTGTTGTAGTAGTTGTGGTGGTAGTAGTTGTGGTTGTTGTAGTAGTTGTGGTTGTTGTTGTTGTAGTAGTTGTGGTTGTTGTTGTTGTAGTAGTTGTGGTTGTTGTAGTAGTTGTGGTGGTAGTAGTTGTGGTTGTTGTAGTAGTTGTGGTAGTAGTTGTAGTGGTTGTGGTCGTGGTGGTAGTGGTAGTTGTGGTGGTAGTAGTTGTGGTTGTTGTAGTAGTTGTGGTGGTAGTGGTGGTAGTAGTTGTGGTTGTTGTAGTAGTTGTGGTGGTAGTTGTAGTAGTTGTGGTGGTAGTAGTAGTTGTTGTAGTAGTTGTGGTGGTGGTTGTTGTTGTTGTTGTTGTAGTAGTTGTGGTGGTAGTTGTTGTTGTTGTTGTGGTTGTTGTAGTAGTTGTGGTGGTTGTTGTTGTTGTTGTTGTTGCTAGGATACGGACACTCACAGCTTCTGCGTCAGTCCTCAGCAGCCGTTTGATTTCCTTTTCAACATCTGGGCACTCAATATACTGACGTCATCATCGTCATCATCAGTAGTGACGTCAAGGTCATCAGTAGTGACGTCATCGTCATCATCAGTAGTGACGTCAAGGTCATCAGTAGTGACGTCATCGTCATCATCAGTAGCGACATCATCGTCATCATCAGCAGTGACGTCATCGTCATCAGCAGTAGTGGCGTCATTGTCGTCATCATCATCGTCATCAGTAATGGGGTCATCGGCATCAGTAGTGACGTCGTCATCAGCATCATCATCGGCAGTGACATCATCATCAGTAGTGACGTCATCATCATCGTCATCAGCAGCAGCGTCATCAGCAGCAGCAGTGTCATCAGCAGTATCATCATCATCAGCAGCGTCGTCATCATCATAATCAGCAGCCACATCAATTAACAAAGTGGATAGACTCACCTCACAGAGACCCATAGACTCACCACACAGAGACCCACAGACTCACCACACAGAGACCCACAGACTCACCACACAGAGACCCATAGACTCACCACACAGAGACCCACAGACTCACCACACAGAGACCCATAGACTCACCACACAGAGACCCATAGACTCACCACACAGAGACCCATAGACTCATCACAGAGACCCATAGACTCATCACACAGAGACCCATAGACTCACCACACAGAGACCCGTAGACTCACCCCACAGAGACCCATAGACTCACCTCACAGAGACCCACAGACTCATCACACAGAGACCCATAGACTCACCACACAGAGACCCATAGACTCATCACACAGAGACCCATAGACTCACCACACAGAGACCCATAGACTCATCACACAGAGACCCATAGACTCACCACACAGAGACCCATAGACTCACCACACAGAGACCCACAGACTTACCACACAGAGACCCATAGACTCACCACACAGAGACCCATAGACTCACCACACAGAGACCCATAGACTCATCACAGAGACCCATAGACTCATCACACAGAGACCCATAGACTCACCACACAGAGACCCGTAGACTCACCACACAGAGACCCATAGACTCATCACACAGAGACCCATAGACTCATCACACAGAGACCCATAGACTCACCACACAGAGACCCATAGACTCACCATACAGAGACCCATAGACTCATCACACAGAGACCCATAGACTCATCACACAGAGACCCATAGACTCACCACATAGAGACCCATAGACTCACCACACAGAGACCCATAGACTCATCACACAGAGACCCATAGACTCATCACACAGAGACCCACAGACTCACCACACAGAGACCCACAGACTCACCACACAGATACCCATAGACTCACCACACAGAGACCCATAGACTCACCACACAGAGACCCATAGACTCACCACACAGAGACCCATAGACTCACCTCACAGAGACCCATAGACTCACCACACAGAGACCCATAGACTCATCACACAGAGACCCATAGACTCATCACACAGAGACCCATAGACTCACCACACAGAGACCCACAGACTCACCACACAGAGACCCACAGACTCATCACACAGAGACCCATAGACTCACCACACAGAGACCCATAGACTCATCACACAGAGACCCATAGACTCACCACACAGAGACCCACAGACTCACTCACACAGAGACCCACAGACTCAACACACAGAGACCCATAGACTCACCACACAGAGACCCACAGACTCTGTAGTGTATAGTGTACTACTGCTGATACTACTACTGCTGATACTACTACTGCTGATACTACTACTGCTGATACTACTACTGCTGATACTACTACTGCTGTTACTACAAGTGATACTACTACAACTGATACTACTACTGCTGATACTACTACTAGTGATACTACTACTACTGATACTACTACTGCTGATACTACTACTGCTGATACTACTACTAGTGATACTACTAGTGATACTACTACAAGTGATACTACTACTACTGATACTACTGCTACTGATACTACTACTACTGCTGATACTACTACTGCTGATACTACTACTGATACTACTACTGCTGATACTACTACTACTGATACTACTACTACTGATACTACTACTGCTGATACTACTACTGCTGATACTACTACTACTGATACTACTACTGCTGATACTACTACTGCTGATACTACTACTGCTGATACTACTACTACTGATACTACTGCTGCTGATACTACTACTGCTGATACTACTACTGATACTACTACTACTGATACTACTACTACTGATACTACTACTGATACTACTACTACTGATACTACTACTGATACTACTACTACTGATACTACTGCTGATACTACTACTACTGATACTACTACTACTGATACTACTGCTGCTGATACTCCTACTACTGATACTACTACTACTGATACTACTACTACTGATACTACTGCTGCTGATACTACTACTACTGATACTACTGCTACTGATACTACTGCTGCTGATACTACTACTGCTGATACTACTACTACTGATACTACTACTACTGATACTACTACTGCTGATACTACTACTGCTGATACTACTACTACTGATACTACTACTACTGATACTACTACTACTGATACTACTACTGCTGATACTACTACTGCTGATACTACTACTACTGATACTACTGATACTACAACTACTGATACTACTGCTGCTGATACTACTACTACTGATACTCCTACTGCTGATACTACTACTGCTGATACTACTACTGCTGATACTACTACTACTGATACTACTACTACTGATACTACTACTACTGATACTACTACTGATACTCCTACTACTGATACTACTACTGCTGATACTACTACTACTGATACTACTACTACTGATACTACTACTACTGATACTACTACTGCTGATACTACTACTGCTGATACTACTACTACTGATACTACTGATACTACTACTACTGATACTACTGATACTACTACTACTGATACTACTGATACTCCTACTACTGATACTACTACTACTGATACTCCTGCTACTGATACTACTACTACTGACACTCCTACTGCTGATACTACTACTGCTGATACTACTACTACTGATACTACTACTACTGATACTACTACTACTGATACTACTACTACTGATACTACTACTACTGATACTACTACTACTGATACTACTACTACTGATACTACTACTGATACTACTACTGCTGATACTACTACTACTGATACTACTACTACTGATACTACTACTGCTGATACTACTACTGCTAATACTACTACTACTGATACTACTACTACTGATACTACTACTACTGATACTACTGCTGCTGATACTACTACTACTGATACTACTACTGATACTACTACTACTGATACTACTACTACTGATACTACTACTGCTGATACTACCACTACTGATACTCCTACTACTGATACTACTACTGATACTACTACTACTGATACTCCTGCTACTGATACTACTACTGCTGATACTACTACTGATACTACTACTGATACTACTGCTGATACTACTACTACTGATACTACTACTACTGATACTCCTACTACTGATACTACTAATACTGATACTACTAATACTGATACTCCTACTGCTGATACTACTACTACTGATACTACTACTACTGATACTACTACTAGTGATACTACTACTACTGATACTACTACTACTGCTGATACTACTACTACTGATACTACTACTACTGATACTACTACTGATACTACTACTACTGATACTACTACTACTGATACTACTACTGATACTACTACTACTGATATTACTACTACTGATACTACTACTACTGATACTACTACTACTGATACTACTACTGCTGATACTACTACTACTGATACTACTACTACTACTGATACTACTACTGATACTACTACTACTGATACTACTACTGCTGACACTACTACTACTGATACTCCTACTGCTGATACTACTACTGCTGATACTACTACTGATACTACTGCTACTGATACTACTGCTGCTGATACTACTACTACTGATACTACTACTACTGATACTACTACTGATAGTACTACTACTGATACTACTACTGCTGATACTACTACTGCTGATACTACTACTACTGATACCACTACTACTGATACTACTACTACTGATACTACTACTACTGATACTACTACTACTGATACTACTACTACTGATACTACTACTACTACTACTGATACTACTACTACTGATACTACTACTACTGATACTACTACTACTGATACTACTACTACTGATACTACTACTGCTGATACTACTACTGCTGATACTACTACTGATACTACTACTACTGATACTACTACTGCTGATACTACTACTGATACTACTACTACTGATACTACTACTACTGATACCACTACTACTGATACTACTACTACTGATACTACTAATGATACTACTACTACTGATACTACTACTGCTGATACTACTACTACTGATACTACTACTACTGATACTCCTACTACTGATACTACTACTGCTGATACTACTACTGATACTACTGCTGATACTACTACTACTGATACTACTACTACTGATACTACTACTACTGATACTCCTACTACTGATACTACTACTGCTGATACTACTACTGATACTACTGCTACTGATACTACTAATACTGATACTCCTACTGCTGATACTACTACTACTGATACTACTACTACTGATACTACTGCTACTGATACTACTAATACAGATACTAATACTGATACTCCTACTGCTGATACTACTACTACTGATACTACTACTACTGATACTACTACTAGTGATACTACTACTACTACTGATACTACTACTACTACTGATACTACTACTACTGATACTACTACTACTGATACTACTACTACTGATACTACTACTACTGATACTACTACTACTGATAGTACTACTGCTGATACTACTACTGATACTACTAGTGATACTACTACTGCTGATACTACTACTAGTGATACTACTACTAGTGATACTACTACTACTGATACTACTACTGATACTACTACTACTGATACTACTACTACTGATACTACTACT